ATGTACCTGCAATGTTTTCCAGGAGTCCCGATGGGATTCCCCTATACTGAGGTCTCTCCTGTACTGAGGTCTCTCCAGTCATCTCCAGTCAGTGTACCATTGTACAACAATCTCTGGCTGACCTCCCTCTCTCCGTGTGTGGGCTTCGTCGCCCAAGGGCAATTTACCCGTTTGGGCATTGCCTGATTCCTGGATGGGGATCACCCAAGTAAACAGAGAGGCTTCAGTGCCAGATGAGCCTTGGTAGGCACCCAGTGCTATGAGCGGATTCTCTCTCTCTCTCTCGAGGTACCAGCCACGGCTGAAGCTCAAAGTCGCCAATAAGGGCGGAACCGGAAATTGTTGAAGGGCGTCGTAAGCCCAGTCGTGAGACATAGACGAGGTGGTCTAACTCTCTATTCGTGGGTCTCGACCCGAGTCGTATTTCCGGTGGTTGCCCCTCAGTTGCAAATAGACCGTTTTCTTTCTTTAAAAGTAGAGGTGCTCTGGGTCGCTGTGGACAGCGGGGGCCTCCTGGATGCTCCTGGGTCCTTTGTGGCAGCTGGGGGTCCTCCACGACGACGACGATGATGGGAGGTGCCTTGGGTCAAGGCGGTGGCAGCTGGGATCTCCCGGATGCTCCTGGGCCTGTCATGGCAGCTGGAGGTCTCTGACGACGATGATGACGACGACACTAAGGATTTCTAAGGTCGGTGCTGGAGGAGGAGGGCCTATGGCGGTGACGGGCCTATGGCGGAGGACTCACCGGTGACAAAGGTACAAGACCAGGACTTTCCCTCTTCGGAGGGTGTGCGTGCAGCATATCTCTTGTGGCCTTGGAATGCACTGTGTCTCCCCTCGTAGGAGGGGTGTGTGTGTGTGCGTAAACCCTGATTCTAAGCTAAGGGGCTTGGAGCTGAGAGCTTATGCATGAGTCGAATTTTCCCGCAGGGGGATTGGGCCTGATGCTTCTACCCAATCCAACGAAGCTATGAAGCATCAGGGGATGTGGAGTTTGGCCAGCTCCATGTACCTGCAATGTTTTCCAGGAGTCCCGATGGGATTCCCCTATACTGAGGTCTCTCCTGTACTGAGGTCTCTCCAGTCATCTCCAGTCAGTGTACCATTGTACAACAATCTCTGGCTGACCTCCCTCTCTCCGTGTGTGGGCTTCGTCGCCCAAGGGCAATTTACCCGTTTGGGCATTGCCTGATTCCTGGATGGGGATCACCCAAGTAAACAGAGAGGCTTCAGTGCCAGATGAGCCTTGGTAGGCACCCAGTGCTATGAGCGGATTCTCTCTCTCTCTCTCGAGGTACCAGCCACGGCTGAAGCTCAAAGTCGCCAATAAGGGCGGAACCGGAAATTGTTGAAGGGCGTCGTAAGCCCAGTCGTGAGACATAGACGAGGTGGTCTAACTCTCTATTCGTGGGTCTCGACCCGAGTCGTATTTCCGGTGGTTGCCCCTCAGTTGCAAATAGACCGTTTTCTTTCTTTAAAAGTAGAGGTGCTCTGGGTCGCTGTGGACAGCGGGGGCCTCCTGGATGCTCCTGGGTCCTTTGTGGCAGCTGGGGGTCCTCCACGACGACGACGATGATGGGAGGTGCCTTGGGTCAAGGCGGTGGCAGCTGGGATCTCCCGGACGCTCCTGGGCCTGTCATGGCAGCTGGAGGTCTCTGACGACGATGATGACGACGACACTAAGGATTTCTAAGGTCGGTGCTGGAGGAGGAGGGCCTATGGCGGTGACGGGCCTATGGCGGAGGACTCACCGGTGACAAAGGTACAAGACCAGGACTTTCCCTCTTCGGAGGGTGTGCGTGCAGCATATCTCTTGTGGCCTTGGAATGCACTGTGTCTCCCCTCGTAGGAGGGGTGTGTGTGTGTGTAAACCCTGATTCTAAGCTAAGGGGCTTGGAGCTGAGAGCTTATGCATGAGTCGAATTTTCCCGCAGGGGGATTGGGCCTGATGCTTCTACCCAATCCAACGAAGCTATGAAGCATCAGGGGATGTGGAGTTTGGCCAGCTCCATGTACCTGCAATGTTTTCCAGGAGTCCCGATGGGATTCCCCTATACTGAGGTCTCTCCTGTACTGAGGTCTCTCCAGTCATCTCCAGTCAGTGTACCATTGTACAACAATCTCTGGCTGACCTCCCTCTCTCCGTGTGTGTTATGTGTGATGTGTCTCTCTGTGTGTGTGTGTGTGTGTGTGTGTGTGTGTGTGTGTGTTGCGCGTTGCGAGTTGTGTGTGGAGGCAGAACCGAACTGCGCATGCCGTAGTGTGGCCTTTGCTGGCCCCGCCCCAAAATCCCGTGCTCTTGCGGATGGGCGACAGCATGGCGACTGTGGCTGGTCCTTGCGCATATAGGCCGACGGAGAGCTGCCACCTTAGGTGTCAAGAACCTGCCCTCTCACAGCTGCTGTTTGCTGCTAGGCTCTCACAGATCCGAGGCAGCCTACCCCTCATTGCTGTACGACACGGCCGGAACTTCCGCTCACATGCTTTTTGGCCTAGACAATGCACGGCACGCACGGTCAACCTCAGCACGATGCCAAACAATCAGGACCATCACGTGGTGGATCCTCAGAGGCAGACGGGTATGGCGCTACAACTGCATGAAGCTCCACACAAGTCCCGCGTCCAGTGGCAAGCAAAGGCTCAGGTTCGTTTGCCAGCCAGGCCAAGCCGATCCGAAGTACATGGACAGGAACAGATCCTGACCGATGTAGCCTCATCATCACTGATCGCACATCTGCCTACCAGATTCCTCGTTTGAAGGACAGCAGTGGGCTGGAACAGTCACCCACGACGTCTGACACAAGGGAAATTCTGGGACTCGAGATCGAAGCAGGTTACAAGCTTCCCTATGAGCAAGTTCCGCCGGCACTTCACCCTCCAGCAAGCACATGCTGAATCCTCTTCCAGGAAAGACCGAAGCGCGACTACTCTCTGATCTTCCTAATCTGACAAACAAACCAGTCTCATTCGCGACCTCAATCATACAGTGTCATACACCCCGCAATCAAGCTTTGCCCTGTGCGCGGCCGTAGACTCACAAACGCAAAAATTGCATGCTTCTGAGGCTGAGCCGCCAATGAAGACCTGACAGCAAAGCTGCGTCATGTCGGTGGCCTGCACCACACAGGCTAAGGCTATCAATGCGACGTGCAGGACCGAATTGGATGCCCAACATGCTCATGAGCCTATAGACTCGACGACTTGACTCATGAATGTTCATTTCCTGTGATGCCATCGTTTGATTGTCACGAACTATTCAGTTGTTCTGTAAGTCACTGGGATGTTCCCCCCCAAAAAACTATCAGTCCTTAATAGGTCACTGTGGGGCATAGATCCAGGCCAGCGTCCTGGAAAAAGTCTGAGGAGCTCAGGAGGTCCGGCGTGTCGAGCAGAGCCACGACGCAAAGAGCAACAAGGACAACAGCATGAAGAACACCTCGTCAAGAAGCTGAAATGCGCACCCCAATCCTGCTGCACCGAATTGTCAGACTTTTAACCGTAGAGAGGCCACATCCCCTACAGCACTGCGGCTAAAACGTGCCTCTTCTTGGTGGCTTTGGTGTTAGGCTCATGGACCACTTGTTAGGATGACAGAGTGAATATGCCCGATCATTGAGCTGCGGCGGCTTGGGCTGACCACGCTGCGTAGCAAGAGGGTAGTGAACAGAAGCCCGAAACCATCCAGGACCGACCTGAGAAACTCGCAGCCCAGTATGCCTTCTCACCTGGGCAGCTTGAGACTTCGAGAGCTCCCATGAAAACGATTCGAGCAAATGGGGGCTGCTCAGAGGCAAGACTGATCCGAACCCCATGCAAATCCACAGCGGCTACATAGTCATGCCAACATCGGAGTCGTTCCTTGCAGATAATCTCTACCGTAACATGTCGACACAAAGACGAAGTTCACCCCTTCACCCTCGAGTTCAGCCTGTCTGCCGGAACGAGCCCAAGCCAGCGCTTGTTCTGCAGACAAGATGCCTTTGGCCGAATCCAAACTGCTGAAATGCCTTGGGGGGGACATTGCCGACAACGCTTTTCAAGAAAGCAATCGACTCGGATGCGACACACGGGGCACAATATGTCCACTAGGCCATCTGCTGTTCCCGAACATATGATTCGAACGACTCCATGACCGGAGCCAAGGCTGTTCAGTAGATGGCCTCGCTTCCGAAGCGGTCTAGCCAAGCCGCGAGAGGAACAACGGGGCAGCAAAGCGTGTCAGCCAAAAAGAGGCCTGGAGACAGCAATCACTGGAGGCACCAAAGGCAGCACCACAGCTGCTGACAGAAGAGACCCTGTGCATTGTAGACTATTGGCTTGTGCAAGTTCGCCAGTCATGCAAGTTACAGACTCGGACTATACTTATAAACCCTAAACCCGGAACTAAACCATTTAACCTCAGCGCCTGCCAGCATGCAGCCGATGCCAAGATCGGAGTTAGCATGGTGGTCGCCATGGGGAGGCAGAGGCGAGCTGCGTCGGTCAAGCGAATTTCCAAGGCGACATATTGCTGTTTCCACCATGCTGCTCTTTTGCTTCAAGGGCTGTGGCTCCTCCACCTCTTAGGGGTCTGTGGTGGGTTGTCCCATGCCTGTCAGTGTGATGCAGGAGGACTTGTGGAGTGGCTTATATTCGTATGCAGTGGATTTGGTATACTCGCATGCTGGTGGGGTCAGCCTGCATGCTGCAAGGAGCCTGCAGCAGGGCTTTTGTGTGAGGATGGCAGATTTTCGGGAGGAGACTTCAACTGCCGCTGCATGTGACGCTCCGATGTAACGTAGCTGGGCCTGCCCTGAAGCTACCCCCAATCGAAAACCTCCGACTGGAATTTTGGCACAACTTGGCCCCATGTTGGGTTCCTAACTTCTGCGTCCTTAGGTCGGAGTCCCAGAACCTCCCCTAAACCCTAAACCCTAAACCCTAAACCCTAAACCCTAAACCCTAAACCCTAAACCCTAAACCCTAAACCCTAAATGGTGTATTCCCCTGACCCTTCCGGCCGCTTCATCGTAAGCCGCGGCTGCCCGCGAGGCCGCCTCCTCAGCTGCTGCCAGTTGTGGGCTACGACCCCTGAGCCCTGAACCCTGAGGGTTTAGGGTTTAGGGTTTAGGGTTTAGGGTTGTTTTTTGTGCCACCCGCTTAGCTTAGGGTTTAGGGTTTAGGTTTAGGGTTTAGATCCAAAACCCGAAGCCCTAAACCAATGGGCTCTCGACACACTCCGTATTGACGCGTCACGTGCTCGTATGGATGATTCTGCACTGGAAAAAAGCTGAAGTATCCATTAGCAGTCAGAACTACCATGTCTAACGCCCGTCACGGTCAAAGTTCGAGAAAAGATTGAGAAGATTCCTACCCTGTTGAGTTTGTACAGATGTATGACAGATGCACGTGTAATTATGCAACTAAACCCTGAAACCCAAACCCTAAAACTGAAACGTGCAAAATTGCTGCGGGTGTTTCCACATCCCTTGGCCTCCAGGCGTGGACTCGGGTGACCAAACATCGGAAGTTGGACATTGCGTTTATGCTGTTCGCGATGGTAATCGATCATACAAAATAGTATACTTAAATATTTATATTATATATATATACAATTGAAACGCTTAATCAGTTCAATATTCAGACATGAAAAAACTTACATGATAACGTAAGTATATATAAATCGAACATAATGAGATCATAGCATCTATTGAATATTCGTGATTTGCGTAGCTATAGCAATGTATGAAAAACAAACCCTAAACCCTAAACCCTAAACCCGAAACCTCCGGATCACCAGGAAACACCCCAGGGCCCTCGGCAAGTGCATCGGCAAGGCGGCTTTCGAAAGGGGCCAACTTGGAGCGCACCTGAAGCCGTGAGGACATATGCTTCTTTCCAAGAGTAGGGGTACCCCTTTTATACCCCAAATAGAATAGAATCCCTTTAAAGAGGGGCCCAAAACAGAAACACCCCTATGTTCGGAAACCCCCCCTCTATAATTTTTGCTTCATGCAACGATGTTGCGAACCTCACTCGGCTTTATGTCCCGCACCTCCTCCTGGACCACCTTCTCGAACTGCTGTACAGCCTGCAAGAGGCCGATCGAAGCAATGCACATGCCAGAAAGCTATAGAGGTTCGTCACCATGCGTTCCATCACGATGGGCTACAAGCTTCCGACCTCCTCAGCCGCTTCTTCGGCATCCTTCTTGGCTGCGAGCACCTCTTAAACCATAGGGAGGCTTGCAACTTGGCTGTGCAACTTCAATCTTGCAGCAGATGCATGCTTCCTTCCTTCTGGCCTCTGCGAAAAGAGGGTCGAAAAGTCTTCGGCCCTCAACCGGCAACTAAATCCCAGAAGCCCTCAAAACCTCCCAAGCAAGCCGCAAGCTGCCCAGCGCCCATGAATGAAGCGCCTTCGCTTCTCGTGCCTCCCGGGCAGCGCGCACTGCCTCGCAGAAGCTTTCAATACCTTACCAGTGTTTCCCCTTTTTGCCTCCATCAAGGGCCTGGTACTTTCTGACTATACTCCCCTTAGAACCTTTATAAAAATGATATTGTGAATATCCTCTTGGGTTTTATATAAATAAAACAATTTCCAAAAAGGGGCATAGCTGAGAGTGCAAAGGATGCCAGGCGATGGCCTTCTATCTGGAGGCAACACATGTGGAGCCTCTGGTGAGCTGGAGGTTGCAATCCTACCCCATCAAATCCAAAACTCTTCGACCATGAGTGAGGGCCCAGAGAAGTACTCCAACAGCTACTCCATCCCCCCCGCCCCCCCCCCGCCCCAGTTGCCACACCGAAGATGAATCTTGCAAGTGATGCTTCTTTCACAAACTGCACATCATGGCGGACCTAATTTCGGGCAGGCGCCTCCTTGAGACGCGCTTCCTCCTCTGCGCGTGCCTCGCTGTGCATATTTGTCAGAGAAGACAGTGACCGTCAGAGAGATAGAGACGGAGAGAGAGAGTGCGAGAGACAGAAAGAGAGAGGGAAAGGGAGAGAGAGGATAGAGAGAGAGAGAGAGTTGCGTGATTGTGTGCGTGTGACGTGGGGCTTGTCTGCTGTGTCGGTGTGGGCTGACTGGTGACGATAGACCAGCTGTCGAGCTGTGTTGAAGACGACAATCAAACGCATGCATGCTGCATGCTTCTGCCTGCTTCACGCTGCCTGAACATTGAATCTGCGTCTCCGTACTCCATGGTACATACTTCAAGCCCTCTATACTTGCTATCCGCCTCAGCCTCTGCACTGGCGACGGCGTCCGCAGCCTGAATTGCGGGTCAGGGAGTCCTCTGCGAAGCAACTTCGCAGCACAGGGAGCACCGAGGGCACTGCCTGCTGAGTTCGCTGGTCACGCTCGATAGCGACACGGTACTGGCAAGGGGAACATCTGCAACTCTGTTGCAAGAAAGCATCAACCCACGCTGCTCGAAGAGTCGACAAACATCTCCTGCAAGTTCGTCTCCAGCGCGGCCCGCTCCTCGGCGAGAGCCCGTTCCTGGGACATGCACTGCACTGCTATGGCAGCTAAGATCAGCTAAGGCAGTACAGGTCACTTCGGGGCACGATTGGCAGAGGCACCGACGGCTTCTGCTTTGTCCACCTTGGGATGCAATACAGGATTTGCAAGGCAGGCTGGTACATGAAAATTGCCAACTTCTGCACGATCTCTTCCACTTCGTATGCTTCTACAAAAGTGCATGTCCGAGGGCATCCTGCAAAAAGACATGTGCATTTGCAAAAGGGCCTCAGCAGACTCTTTGGCCATGCGCGCCACGCGCATCTGGAGGTCTTCTGCGGGTGCCTTAGACTACAGGGTCCCATACCCGGGCCTGAACCATGGAGCAAGACTGAGCTCTTGCCAACGAGATGTTCAACTATAGAAGTCATGATAACTTGATGTAAGTTTCTGAACAAGAGCTCAGAAGCGGGAGGTCTTGTACCTAGGCTTTGGGACCCAGTGATTGCCGGGCGGCTTCGGGCTAAGCATCATTTGACTCACAGTAGTAAGACTCCACCTGACAGACGAATCGGAGGCCAGTGAGGCGAGCAGGGCAGGGGCATCGCGTGACGCAGAAGCTGCTGGCATTTGACGTGTGGTTTGGTCAGGCTCCGTCTCGGCATCTGTCGACGCCACTGGCAGATGGCTAGCGTTTTCTGACATCTAGGTCACGTATGTACCGGCTACTGTAAAGAAACTAGATTGGATACACTCCATCAGTTGTTCTTGCACAATGGCGTGTGCGGCCATCTGATCCCTGTCAACTCCGAATGGGCTTTGGCGTGGCGCTTCCCATGTATGCTCGTGGAATCTGCGACTTACAATCAGGTCAGTGAGGTCATGGTTCAAAGAGCAACGCCAATCAAAGTACGTGGGCCATGAAGTTTGGAGGAACCTGCCTCCGGACGTCTGGCAGTAAGAGTACAAATGAGTACAAGGACGTCACTATACCTCTAGTGCTCAAGAGACATGACACTTGCGGATGGGGATGGACACGCATGTGTGGGGCTTCGTATGCACCGGCGCTCTTCCGGTGGGACCAGCAGCAAGCTTGCCAAATCATGATGAGCTTGAGCCAACAGACTAACTCTAAGAGGGCCTTGAAAACTGGGCGCAAGGCTTCTGGAGACTTGCTTGTGGCCCTGTGTGACTGGGCCCCTCAGGACACAAGGTGCGCAAAGCCCAGTGCATATATAAATATAAATATAAATAAATAAATATATATATATATATGCTACCCCCCCCCATGTACCTACCCTTTTTGGGCTGAATTCGTAGAATATTCTGTATTTCTCCCTATCTCTCCCCTCCCCCCCAAGATCCCGCAACGCGCGGTCGTTTTTTTTTGGGAGCTCCCATAACAATTAATTCTAGCAGAAGTGACCTGAACAATTTGCTCGTGGATTGCATGCTGTGAGTTTAAATAGGAATCCAATTTATTCGAATAGGGTTCCGATCAAATTTAATAAATGGGGTTCATAGGATTCATTGTATTTTAATAGGGTTCTTCATTAAAATGAATAGGAAACCCTTGAAAATGAATGAGAACCCTTAATCCTCTATTTAAATCCATAGGAACCCTATTTCAAATTAATCGGCGCCGTAAAGTCAATAGGAAGCCTCTTAAAATGAAGTGGAGGCTCCTCATAAATTTATGCGAATCCTCGTAGAATTAACAGGAATCCTGTTACATAGGAACCAATCGGTCTCCTGTAAGAAAATGTGAACCTTTAGAAAAACAACAACGAACGATTTAAATGAACATGAGTCTAAACCATAGGAATCCCTTGAAAGTGAATGAGATCCCCTTTAATATTAACACGAACCCCATTAACATGAATAAGAAACTGATTAAAATTTATAGGACTTTTACTACAAAACAATAAGAGACTTATTAATAATTCGGAACTCTATGAAACTTTTTCTGGAATCCTATGAAGAGAAATAGGAATCTTCTATTGAATTATCGGAACAGTTAATGGGAAGGAAGCCTCTTAAAATGAATAGCAACCCTTAACAAATCAAAAAGACCCCGACAGGAATCCTATTAAAACGAGAAGGAATCTTTCTACAATCAATAGGAACCAACAGGCCGAAAAAATCAGTAGAATCCAAAAACAAGAACTGATAGGAATCCTTCTAAACTAATATGAGCCTAAGCCAATAGGAATCCTGTAGAATTAATGAGAACCCTATGCGAATCCCAGTAACATGAATAAGAATCCTGTTTAAATTGATAGGAACCTTCTTAAATTTGTAGGAGCCTTAGGGCGTGATGTCTTAAGATTTGTTGCTAAGGTACAGTGTTTAGTATAGATATTTGGTTTTGCTTATCGGGGATGATTGTTTGAGATATGGTGGCTAAGGTATAGTTTCTGGATAGATGGCATGTCTTGCGTATTGGGGCGTGATTGATTATATGGAGGTTTTTGTACTCGAGAATTTGCAGGATTCGAGTTTGTTGCTGGGTACTACCTCGAGAAATGGTGGCTGGGAGAGAGCCTCAGATCACGAAAATCCGGATAACATTGGTTTTACTAATGTTTTTCAAGGATGAAGCCCCAAAAACCATGGGGAAAACCGATAATTTCCAAAAAATCCATGGTTTTCAAACCATGTGGCTGGGAGCACGAAATTCACGGATAACATTGGTTTTACCAATGTTTTTGAAGGATGGAGCCCGAAAACATTGGCAAAACCAATGTTTTCCATAAAATCCATGGTTTTCAAACCATCTGGCTGGGAGCACCCAGTTCACGGATAACATTGGTTTTACCAATGTTTTTCAAGGATGTGGCCCGAAAACATCGGCAAAACCAATGTTTTCCATAAAATCCATGGTTTTCAAACCATGTGGCTGGGAGCACCCAATTCACGGATAACATTGGTTTTACCGATGTGTTTGAAGGATTGAGCCCAAAAACATCGGTAAAACCAATGTTACCCATAAAATCCATGGTTCTCAAACCATGTGGCTTAGACCACGAAAGGCATGGATAACATTGGTTTTACCGATGTTTTTTGGGCTCTATCCTTCAAAAACATCGCCAAAACCAATGTTATCCGTTAATTGGGTGCTCCCAGCCACATGGTTTGAAAACCATGGATTTTTGGAAATTATCGGTTTTACCGATGTTTTCGGGCTCTATCCTTCAAAAACATTGGTAAAACCAATGTCATCCGTGAATTGTGTGCTCCCAGCCACATGGTTTGAAAACCATGGATTTTATGGAAAACATTGGTTTTACCAATGCTTTCGTGCTCCATCCTTCAAAAACATTGGTAAAACCAATGTTATCCGTGAATTGTGTGCTCCCAGCCACATGGTTTGAAAACCATGGATTTTATGGAAAACGTTGGTTTTACCGATGTTTTCGTGCTCCATCCTTCAAAAACATTGGTAAAACCAATGTTATCCGTGAATTTCGTGCTCCCAGCCACTCTTCCCTCGTCGTTCGTGTGAGCAGAATACCGAAAATCGAAACCGTCGCGACAAAACAAATCAACCAAATAAGCAAAACATGGTAGGTACATGGGGGGGGGCACCATATATATATATATACACATATATATGAGCCTCAACCACTCTGCGTTCCTCCCCAGGCCCATTCAAGTGTTCCGCAGGGCTCTGCATGCAGAGTGCCACCGCGCCTGAGGAGGAACTGGAGGAGGACTCTGAGCCTTAATTGGGACGACCGACAGGGCCAATTCACATGAGAGCGAAAAAGTGCTCGATGACACCTTTGACTCTTGAATTCTCGCAGTGAGCGAGAATGAAGCTTTCAACGCGCACGTGCACTTCAGAAGATGTCAAAACATGGTCATGATCTCACCCCGAGATTTATCCGGTTCATCTAGCGGGCCCATCTGAGCCTTCGGAGGCACTTCAGCCCCTCTGCCCCCCCCCCCCCCCCCCCCCCCCCCCCCCGCCCCCCACACCCCTGCGCACTTCAACCGTTGAACAAATGCCAGATCCCCTCGTGATCCTTCATATGCTGGGGACGTGGCTGCTAGAACCCCGACGACTGCCGTACATCTTAAGCCATCTTTAAAAAAATGTTTTGCCCCAGCGCCCACAGGCTATACACTCTGCAGCTAGGCAGTCCCGCCAGTGGAGTGCTTCGTGGAAGCCGCTGAGCCACCGGCCTTCGCGGGACACTTTGCAACTCTATACCAGACAGAAAGGGAGCAAAATGGCTCAATGTCAAGAACATCTTTATGAGTAGCTTTGTCTTGTGCGTATCAGAGTTATGTATACGTAGTCATACTATCAGCATCCCTAACAGACGCAATGCCATGGTGAACAAAACTGAATACTGCGGACGCAGAACAGGATATGTCCCAAGCCAGTCAGACAAACACCATGCCTTGCCCAAACAGATCCTGTAGCTGTCATAACAGTTGACAAGAGCACCACGTGCACAGTGAACAGGCCACTGGTTCTTGAGGCCTGGTCTCGCTGACGCCCAGTCCTCCACACAAAGAAATCCAACCCACAACAAGCTGCGGTGAAAATCACACTCTACGAGTACGGCACTCACGCGGCCACAATCATCTTAGCAGAACAAGCTGACCCTTTTCTTCCAGGGACCGAATAGTTGAGCCCGTCAGGGTTGTAGCAACCTAACCACTAGGTCCCTGAAAGTTGAGGGTGATGGAAAAGCTGCGCGAACAGCCTGGCCTACGTTTCCTTCGCCGGCCACGTCTCCGCACCTCGCTGCTATCACAAAAGTGAACATGCACCTTCTTTAGGGTTTAGGGCTTGGGTTCATGCTGAATACTCGAGCTTCGGATTGGCAAACCTTCCGGGGACAAAACGGCAGCATGTTTGCTACATCTCCGGTAGATGCTTGTCATCATGTGCCAAGAATAAATACCTGAAAGACATCTTGAGAGCGCTACGAACAGTGCTGGGAACCAGCGGTTTAGGTTGCCCTTGGCACAACTGGGGGGGTGGGAAACTTTCTCTCTCTTACGGGCTGAGGGACATGCCGGCATCCCAAACCCTAAGCCCTGAACCACAAACACCAAACCCTAAACCCTAAGCCCTAAACCCCAAACCCTAAACCGTAAACCCTAAACCCTGCAGCAGTGTGCGGAATCAGTCCAGACTCAAGTGCAATTGGGCGCGGTGCCCGGGGGCTGCCTCGACGGCGATGCCTGGGAGGTGGCAGATGCTGCGAGGCGAACATGTACGATTCGGAATTTACATACAAACATACACATATACATTCATGTATATATACTATATATATATGCTTTATATTTATATTCGTATCTACATATATACAGAAATACATGTGTGTGGGTGTCTGTATGTACAGATCTGTACACATATATGTATATATATATATATGTATACATACCGCTCTCTCAATGAGCCCTCCGGTCGGCTATCGGCTATTTTTGTATTCCCCTGCAAACTGGACGACCGTCTGACTCGAATGACGACTCTCGAAATTTCATTCGAAGAGTTCTTCTCTCATCAGAGGTGCCTCCAGCTCCTTCAAAATTTCTACGCGAACAAGCAGGACGAAAATCATGAATTTGAAACGGAAAGGCCCTGCCAAACTGCCAAGCATCCAGTGCGCACGCTGGCTGGTTCGAAGTGAGTGTTTGTGCAGCTGCCTGGGCCGAAAATGCTGCAGTTGCGATGACCGAGTGGGCATCAGTCTGTTCGCCACGCGGACGAGTCGAAGCGCACTGGGGCCATGCACTGTTGAGTTCCCTGATCTTCTGAAGAAGGGTGGGATGTTTGGGGGTAGTGGCGATTGCTCCTAGTTGCTAGGAGAGCCGCCAAAACTAATTATAGCATGCATGCATGAACTACGAATCTGGATTTTAAAATATCAAGTTTTCAAGGCTCATGCGTTTTGCCTTGGCCTTTGAAATTGCTATGCGAGCAACTGGTCGGAGTGTTGTTAGGGTATGTTCAGACCGTCTAAGCTGACCTGGACTGCTCGTAGTTGACTGCATCCTCCCCGAACAGTCACTACAGGTGACCGGAAGTGAGCAAGGAAGACAAGCAGGCGAGCAGCTTTACATCTGAGCGCATGGTCCGCAGGAAGCCTTAGGGTGTGTAAGGAGATCTAAGGACTCCAAGATGTTCTGGGCCGTAGGCCGTTCGGCAGGCCTGACGTGCCAAGCCGCCATCATGATCGGCCGTAGTTTCGTGTGACAGTCCTAGTTCATGGTTGGGATTGTATTAAAAACTCAGATTTTATATTCCTTATTGGGTTTAAGTACCCTTAAAAAAAAGTTGCCCAACTATGACCAAGAGTCGAGGGCGAGGGGCCGAGGCTCCTTCTGTTGTCTATACTGACGCAAGATGACCTCTGGGTCGGGACCCAGCTGATGGAAAGGAGCCTTTCCAGAGCTCATGAAGTACATGATAAGTCCGTAGGCGTAGATGTCCACCTTCTCATCGTAAGCCTGGCTTCTCACTACCTCCGGTGCCATGTAGCGCCAGCTGCCCACACCACCCGTCATCGAGTATCTGTTGCTTTCATGCTTGAACATCAACTTGCTGATGCCAAAGTCGGACACCTTGATCTCCATATGCTTCGTCAACAGCAGGTTCAATGGCTTCAGGTCCCGATGGACCTAGACTGAACTTGGAACCCCAGCAAACATTAGAATCTTGCTGTTTCTTAGGAACTATATAGTACCCAACTTAAAAAAAAGAAGGTTTCCAAGTACCCCTATATAAGGGACCACATCACGGCAGTGCAAGAAGTTCAGTGCCCTTCCGATGCTCAAACTCCAGTCGAGCACCTGTTCAAACCCAGGGCGCCAGATCGCCACTTCACGGGTCTTACCTCTACTGAGCTTGGGAAGCCCTGGCAAAAAAATCGTAATTTCAAAGCTGTCCCTTAATGTCGTATCCTGATTAGTCTGGACCCCCTCAATAACGAAAAGTTTTCCAAAAATTATTCAGGAGACCCAATTTGGATTGCCCCCCCACAATAAAGTAAAGTTTTTCGGGCATGGGTTTCGGAACAGAGAAAAAAAGAGAAGAAGATGATGAAAGAAAAGAGCAATAGAAGAGCAGCTTCAAGTCGGAGTTCTGAGCTGTCATCCCCAACCTCCCGGGTTCAGGGTCTACGACCAGGCCTGAAAACAAGGATTCCTTATGACTTCGCTTATCTGAGGAGGCCTAGCCATCAAATTTTGAAGGGGGTAGTCCACGTGCTGCCCCGAAGCCCATGAAAAAAAAAATTGCACCCCCACAATAATGTCAAGGTTTTCGGGGGGAGGGGGGGGGGGGGGGGCGGGCCTTCAAGCTTCCCGGGTTCAGGGTCGACGACCAGGCCGGAAAACAAGGATTCCTTATGACTTCGCTTATCTGAGGAGGCCTAGCCATCAAATTTTGAAGGGGGTAGTCCACGTGCTGCCCCGAAGCCCATTAAAAAAAAAATTGCACCCCCACAATAATGTCAAGGTTTTCGGGGGGAGGGGGGGGGTGGAGCTTACCTGAGCTGAGCTGAGCTCATCTGAGCTTAATTATGTAAGAGGAGAGGGAAAGGAAGAGGAGAGGAAGAGGAGAGGGAAGAGGAGCGAAGAGGAAATGAAGAGGAGCCGGTGGGGGGGGGGCCCGGGGCCGAAAATTAGTTTGGGGGGGTCCCTTTTTTTTTAACACTATTACGGGGGTGGATTTAGTTTGGGGGGGGGGGGGGGGGGGGGGGCCCCCTCACACTAATCAGGATACCACATTAAGAATTACAGCGCCCAAAAACTCTGAAAAGGATTCCCAAGAATCCCTAAGTTACGCTGGGCCATGAAGTAACGCTCAAGGTCGCCACCGGGTAAAAACTCCGTCACGCACATCACCGGAAGGTGCTGATCGATGCAGGCCCCGAGAAACATGACAAGGTCGGGATGCCGCAAAGATGACAGGAGATCGATCTCGTGCAGGAGTTCGTCCGTGATGTCCTTGTCGCCGCCGGTGCTTGGAAGGTCCAAAGAAGGCTGCGAAGTGTGATTGGACTGCAGTTGTCTGGCCACGGCATCGTCGTGCAAGCCAGGGCACTTGGCCACCACATCGATGTTGTGCCAGGTTGCAAGGTACAATGTGCTTTTCAGTGTCCTGCTAAGCTCTTGCTTCACTCGAACGTCCTTGCGGGACAACTTCCAGTGAGAGTCCACGGCACGAGCCCAAAGCCGCTGCTGCCCTGTTGCAGCATCATCCTCACTGCCTGCAGTGGAGCTTGAAGCAGCATGCCCAATTGGCCCATCACCTCCGTCATATGTACTGACTGAAAGCTGTGGGACGAAGGGCGACGAGAGCTTCCATGCTGGCTCCACCATGCTGGTCATGGCTGCTATGGCGGCTTTAAGTTCATGGCCTCTCTAGACTCAGCCCCTGCAGCCACAACGAGAAGGACAGACAATCAGGTCGGTGCTGCACCGCTCCCTTTTAGTTCCCCACTTAGGCTGAAGTTTGTGCTGTGGAACATCCTGGAGCTATCTGTGTTGCCCTGTAACGGTCTGGGTGCAGAGGCCTCTGCGCGCCATCTCTCCCTTTGCGACGGCTCCTACCTGTCCAAACACAGAATCGAGACTTGTACAACACATTATATGGTCAATAGAATATGAGACTCTATAAAAAATATATAAATATACAGTATAAAAAGGTCTTTTAGACATAGTCTGTGCTCTTCAAGACCTCTGGCTGCGATAGCATAACACGTCAACAATGATGAGGGCGATGAACTGTTTCGGAACCCATTGGTTGGGGAATTGTAACACTTGGGTGTTTGGCCTTTGGAATCCTGCGGGAAAAGCCCCGCTTCCTCCAGAACGCCGATTTGTCTTGGGCAAACATGTCCAGGCAGTGCAGAGCCCAGATTCCGGCAGGGAGAACATGTCTGGAATACGAACTATTTACCACACCAAGCCTTTGTAAACTCAAGAGAACACGCCTTAAAAGCACAGACAACACATGCCCTTTCTTCGACAAGATGTCTACAAGATGAAGGATGAAACATGCTGCAACTATCTCTTCACGTCGCCTGGCGGCCGCATGCGTGTGGCCACCGACTGCAACATAGCCATATTGTACTCAGGATACCCTTTTTGGGGTTGGTTACTTTATAAGGGAACCCAGAACCAACCCTAAACCCTAAACCGTAAACCCCAAACTTAACCCTAAAACCCTAAAACCCTAAACCCTAGCCCGCCCCCCCCCCCCCCCCCCCCCCCCCTCAAAAAAAAAAACGGGCAGGAGGGTACCAAGGCAAGTTGGATCACATGATTGGCAAGGGGAGATAGGCCTGCGCGGCCGCCACGTGATCTGGAGCGCCTCAGGCCGGGTTTAGGGTTTAGGGTTTAGGGTTTAGGGTTTAGGGTTTAGGGTTTAGGGTTTCAATAAGACTTGGGGATGTTCCCCCTTATGCCCATAGCAGCCCTGAAGAGGGAGTATAATGTGGGGGTACTAGAATCCCTAAATGGAGGACTCTTAGTATAAGGGGGGGAACATCCCGAAATAAGACCCTAAAGGATCTGCGCATTAGAGTGGAACTCCAACTTTTCAGGAAGATGACGTTGGCCAGAATACCGCAGCGGCGAAGCTCGGGCGTTGGCTCTCCGTCTCTGGAAATGAAGTCCAGGTATCCCTCCAAGCAGGCTTTCTTTGCTTGAATGCTTAGCCTTAGTCTGTCTAGAGATTTCAACAAACAGACTGAGGCAGAGGCAGAGACAGGAAGACAGGGAGACGGCCAGACAAACAGATTAAACAGACACACACACACACACACACACACACACCCACGCACAAGGCACACACACACACACACAAAAGCACACGCACATGCGCGCACAATGGATGGGCAAGCTTTGAGGGGTAAACAGGCAGCCAGCACGGCAGTGACATGTAGACACTCTTCCGAAAGCCGCTTGCGACATTTCTGAAATGGGCAGAATCCTCTGTTTGTTAGTTGGCAGCTGCCTGCAGGGTGCGCACGTCGTGTCTGTTGGGGTCGAAAATACCTCGACCTGGGAGAGAAGAGGCCCCACCCAAACAGGCAACAAAAAGCTGACATAAGCCTGCGGCCAAACAGCCGTGACAGCAAGCATCTGCTTATTAGCTGCTGCTGCGGTTATTCTTTTCATCTTGACAAATCTATGTAGCTTCAGAGTCATTGTGCAAACTACTCCGTGCTGCTAAGTATGTGCTTGGGCATGCCGAAGAATGACAAGCAGCGTCCTAGACCGGTCCTTGTTGCAGACTAGCGCACATGGCGCGGGTCAGACGTGCAAAGAGTGGGATCCACGCAGACTTGGAGCTGCCATCCCAAGGTAGGGCAACAGATACTGGGGGTTTACGATAATAAGGGACCCCTAATATAGACCCCCACATAATAGGATCCCCTTTCAATGAGGACCCCAATAAGGTGTCCTCAATATCGAAAACCCCCACTTTTTGACTTTGGATGAAACTGTTCCATCCTGAATCCAACTCTACTCAAACTACTTGTTGTCACCGGCGTAGCTACCTCCGCTCTTGCAAAACGGGTGAATTGGCCAACGGCAAAACATCTCGCTACTCCTTTCCTCGGGATCACATGAGGGTGTGCTATACGCATGAATATAACTATATACGGGATTCTTCCAACTTCCTCTCGGCGATGGATGGTCGTCTAGCCAAGTAAGCTTGGCCGGAAAATGTGCAGGAGACACCTGCTGCTCACAAAGGAGCGTGCATGATCGCTTTGGCCCCTCCTGCTTGTGCACGTGCTTATTGCCTGAGGGACTGTTGAACTTCATTCTAGAATGCGAAGAAGATTTTCCCCAAACTCATGTCATGATGTGATCAGGATCACGATCTTCCAGTGCACCGTGCAACCAATTCTAGCACTCGGCTGTCAAGGAAACGAGAACACTTCAATACATGGGCCTGCACGAAGCCCCCCCTTCCAGAGAGCCTGCGTCACTGTGCATACATCTGAAGCTGACCGTGCGGACAATTTGGGCCCGCTGTCGTCTTTGTCAAGATGCAGACATCAGATCGGCAGCGCTAGTGCAAAAGAAGCAGCCCCCCCCCCCCCCCCCCCCCCACCACGCCCGCATCCACCGGACAATGTTCAAGGATTAAGAGCTTATATCCTTTCCATTGCAGTGGCTGATACCTTCTGTGGGCAATGCCGTGCTGCTGTACCAGTGTTAGGTGGAATGGCCTCCAGCCAGCGGTTCAGAGAAGCAAAAGAAGCCAAACATCTTGGCAAGGGATGTGAGAGTCAAGGTTTAAAATGCGTCATCTCTTCTGGGCGCAAAAAATATACATCAATAATCAATAAATAAATCAATAAAGACATGAAGAAATACAGAAATAAATGAATATACATATATATATATGTATATAAGTTGTTGTGGAGAACCCTGAGTCCTTGCTCTCGGCACAAAACTTCCAGTCTGCAAGGCCGACCTAATTCGAGAAGCCTTGTGAGACTGCAGAAATGGCGTCACTTGAGACATGGTGAATCCAAAGTGCCTCGCCTCAATCATATAGGGGCCTGAAGAACTAGAACAGGGTTTTGGGGGGGCAATTATGTGCCATATAGTATAATTTCAAAGGGACCATATGGGAATACCATTAGTAATTATTCCGACCCCTGCATTACCCCTCCCCCTGCCTTCCACGCTGATGACTCAAATGACGAACAAGAGACTTCAAAAACCAGCGCCTCTAAAAGTCCCCATGAGAACTCGACGTCAAACGGTCAGTTTGAACCGTTCCCGCACAGCGAGCAAGTCATGGAACGGAGGACCATTGCTTCATGTCTTGCTGCATTAGCACATCATACGCGCGCACGGCACGAGCGGCGTCCGTACATTCACCGCGGGGAACTAGATGCTGGCAGTCTTCTCTTCGTGTGAGTCTCGAATCAAGAACCACAACCACTGCGCAACAAGACCACCAGCAAGTTAATTATTCGACCTTGACCTATAAACATGCTTACACACAAACGTTCCATGCTTTAGTCGGGAAGGGGGCTGATGCAAGGCAAGATGGCAAAGCCTAAGATCCTGGTTTGGGGCGGTAGCTACCCGTATCCTGATTTAAGCCTCCGATCTGGCCTCATGCAAAACCTGCTTCACAAGTGTTGCAGCACCGCGGCAGATGTGTGCTCATGAAGCACATTCATGATCCTCCATTGGCTTAGGGCTTCATGGCTGAGCAAAGTAGCAGTCGTCATCGAAATCCCGCGACCTAGGAGGCACGATTGCAGCGTTTCACACTTGTGCTTTTCAAAAGCTGAAGAAAATGAGGGGGCTCGTGTACTCAATTTTTACGAAAATGAGGGGCTCGCTTTCGTAAAAGTTGGGTTCGGCCGGTCAACACTAACAGTCACCACCAGCAGACCCACAAATAAAAGCACCCGGTAAATGCCAAAAAATTGACTGAGATTCCTGCTATTCCTGGTGCTATTCCTGGTGCTATTTCTGGTGCTATTTCTGGTGCATTTTTTTGTGCTATTCCTGGTGCTATTTCTGGTGCTATTTTTTGTGCTATTGTTTGTGCTATTTCTGGTTCTATTTTTTGTGCTATTGTTTGTGCTATTTCTGGTGCTATTTCTGGTGCTGTTGCTGGTGCTATGTGACTAACAACCACCATCAGCAGACCCACAAAAAACAGCACCCGGTAAATGCTAAGCTGCTAACATTGACTGGGATTCCTGGTGCTATTTCTGGTGCTATTGTTTGTGCTATTTCTGGTACTATTTTTTGTGCTATTCCTGGCGCTATTTCTGGTGCTATTTTTTGTGCTATTGTTTGTGCTATTGTTTGTGCTATTTCTGGTGTTATTTCTGGTGCTATTTCTGCTGCTATGTGACTAACAGTCACCACCAGCAGACCCACAAAAAGAAGCACCCGGTAAATGCTAAAATTGACTGGGATTCCTGGTGCTATTTTTGGCCTGTGTGTTATAAGGCCACGGCGTTATTTGACTGTTAGTGTGGACCGGCCGAACCCAACGTAAAAGTAAATAAAAGGAGGGTTTCAGGCTCATTTTCTTCCTGTTACTTTGGGCCCTGAAAATGGGATTCTCTCATTTGCTGATGGCTGGGCCTCCTGGAATTGGAAGGATTACTGTTTGGAGGGTTTAGGGTTTAGGGTTTTTAGGGTTTAAGGTGGAAGGATTTGGGCAGGTCTCATTTTCTTAGTGTTGGCTTGCTTCAGGCCCCGCAAGAAAGGCTTTTCGGGAAATATGAAGTTTGCCCGGGTACCCTGAGGAGAATGTCACTGTATCAGTTCCTACCATACGCTACATTGTACAAGAATATGCTATGATACACAACACTACAAACTTTCTTTCATGAAAAGACTTTACCCCTTGTGCCAGGCAGCTTTCCATGGCGGACACCGGCCCGATACAGCCCGAGAGCCGTACTTAAAAGCGCAATCCTCGGGCTCGGGGACTGGGAGAAGACCTAGTGCAGGGACCTACCAATCCCTAAAAGCTTGGTCAACATGCCGCGGACGCGGGGATCGGGGGCCAGTGGGGCGGGAGGGGTCCATGTTCATGACCATGTGCCACTTGATGATTGTCCATGTGCACGTGCCATGCGTGGGCCTCCCAACGATTCGACATCGAGCGGTTTTAGGTTCTGGACTTGCGCATGCGTGTGGTGCCTACTTAGATGCAAACATGCTTTCACAGGCCAGCTCAAGAGCCAGGACCTAAACCAGGCAGTGCCTGCAGGTCCGGGCAAAGAGGGCAAGTTTGCAAGCATAGCATCATTCAAAGGCCATAGCACCCCCCCCCCCCTTGCCCTAAACCCTAAACCCTTAAACCCTAAACCCCAAACCCTGGAAGGTAAGGCTTGAGGGAGGTAAACTCCGCTATACCAGGCTGTTCTCACCTCAGAGGCTAGCTTTCGTGACACATAGGGTTTACACAGGGCCTGTAGGGTTGAATTATCTGCTGTATTTTGTATATGAGCTTTGGGAAAGCGAACTGAGCTTCGCCGAGCTTGGCTGACGGCTTCCCCAATTTTTTAGCACTCCCAAGTCGAGCAGGAGACTCTTGCTCTGCTTCTGCTTGATGCTGGCAAGTCGCATGGCAATGGAAATTTCCACGCCAAAGGATGGCCCGAACTGGAAAGCCCGGAAGACTTCGTTGGATGTGGCCTCACAGAGTGCTCGGAAGCAGTGTTGACCACCAGCAGCTAAGCGCTTAGCGAAGATCCGAGTTCCCGTACGGCTTCCTGGACAAGCGTTTGCAGACTCGCCCCATGGGCACTGCTTGGCCACGCGCATGCAAGACGCAGGAACGGCGAAACTTGTGAACAAGACAAGACAAACATGATTCCCCTAAAACCCTAAAACCCTAAACCCTAACACCCTAACAAACCTAAAACAACTCCCCCCCCCCCCCCCAAAAAAAAAAAAAAAGGTGTTGGGCGGGGGGTGGGGCGGTGCCTTTGCTTTCTCGGCCTCAAGCTCGTCCTGCAAGGACCGGAGCTGGGCTTTAAGCCTCGGCATGACCTCCAGATCGAGCAGCATGTCGTCCTTGGTTCCAGACACAGGGTGTAGGGTTTAGGGTTTAGGGTTTAGGGTTTTTCGCTCCCGCACAGCTGGCAGAACCGCGCCGCAGGGTTTGGGGGTGAGGGTTGAGGGCACTCTCACCCCCCGAGAGATACTGCGAACCACCCTTCTGACTTTGCCACAGCAAAGGGCTCCGAAAACGGTAACGATGAACAGCAGCAACTTGTCATCAGGAAACATCAATTAAAGGAAGCTGCAATCAAAACGAAATTATGACCTCTCTTCTTCCTCCAAGGCATCCTCTTCAAGAAGGGAGCCAACTCTCGGCAGATCTACCTAACATCAAGTGGGCCAAGCTTCGGTAATGTTCAGCCCTCTGTTCGGCCCTTTCGGCGTGAACGAGGTGTAACCCACCTCCCAGATGAAGCTGAACGCAGCAAAAGGGTAGCAACATGATGAAAAAAACTACAGGAGTATAAGAAGACGGGGCCCACCTGAACGTTCTG